GTGTGCTGGTTCCATTGTGGGGCACAGAGCCTGCATGGCGGTCCTGAGAAGGACTCACTCTGTTTTATTTTTCCTTGTGGCTAGTCTTAACCTGAAAATTCCTGGAGGTTCCTGAAGCATCCCCAATAATATCGAGAGCTGCTCTACAAACCACAGTGACTCCCGTTGGAAGCAGAGGGTGGGCCAGAAATGAGAATCAAAATGCTACATCTTCAAATTGCTTCACCTGTCTTCAGGTCCTTGTCATCGTCACCTCCTGCTATCGCCGCTTGTCACTCCAGCATCACTCTCAAATCAAGTTCTCCAAAACTACCGAGACCCGTGGTATCCTCTGCCAAGGCTCAGCCGTTCCGAGCTGAAACCAGAGGGAGGCTGTCAAAACCCACGAAGAGCAAGGCTCACTCAGCTCTGCGTCTGTTTGCCAGGGTCAGTACTGCCAACTGATACCACCCTGAAAGTCATTTCCATGCCCGATTCCTATTGGTTCCTTGCCAACTCACTTTCATTCTGATTGGCTACCTACACCATCCCCACCCCCAATCCAGAAGCAGCTAAGTGATCCAATTCCACGGAAGCTTGCACTGCTTACTGCTCAAGCTGTGTCTGTCCCAACAACTGTCTTAACTGATTTTCCTTACCTGACATAATAGCTGAAATGGTCCTTGACCATGTAGACAGAACCTCCTCCTAAATTTTTAAAAATATATACTCTGTTGGTTAGGGTATTACAAATGTGTCGTAATACCTTAACCAATAAAGAAATTAAAAAATAATTATATATATATATATACTCTGTTTTTCTTTCTCCAACCCTAACCCTTTTCAGCATTACCTTGTCTCCCCTCTGACTTTTTCATTCATCCTTTTACATTTTCTTTTTCTATCACTCCTTCCTTTTCAATGGGAGTGTCTCTCTCCCATTTTCCTCCTTGGCTCCTATTTTTCATTGGCTTTTGGTCCTTAATTTGAAGAAACAATCTCACCTGCTTTCACTGGAGAAAAAAAATACACCCCAAGCTCTGTGATGCCTAACTTACACCTTTTTGCCTCAACCCTAATCACTGAAAACAAATTCAGTATAAATTTAACCCAATGAACATTAATTTGTAGTTTACTTTCAAGGAAGTTACTTTGTCACCATGAAATTCTGCTCTCTCATTCCTATGTCACACCTAATCAACCCCTCCCACGTTCACATGCTTAAACAGTCACGTGGCATCCAAGGTGAACATCCCAGAAGAAACGAGATACACTGCCCTGAGGCTGGGTGTGTGCCGCTTGTCTGCTGGAGGAATGGGAGTGGAGCGGGGCACTGGCACAGCACAGTGTGGAGAGTGGGATCCGGGGCTCATTTTTATAAAGGTGACCAAGCTCTATTGATGAATGAAGACCAGTGAGTTCTACGAATCAGTTAGCACCCAACGAGAATTCATTCAACTGTTACTTACTCACTATCTTATCGGCTGTTTAGGTCTGAAGAGAAACAAGACAAAACCCCTACCCACAAAAAGCGCACAATTCACAAGGGGAGACAAACATCTGAAAGATCCCATGGAACACAGGATGAGGTTATTAGCACTATGGTTGCCCCCAAAGCACGCGGGGTTCCTTCTTTCTAACGTTAGGGATACAGAAGTCGTGGTGGGGGGGTGACAGAGTGCTCCACCAAGGATAAGGATTGCCTTTCTTGCTTCCAGCTGGTTGAGGTATAACTGACATGTAAAATTAGAAGACAGGATTGACTTTGGAGAAGACAAGCTGGAGGCAAGATGGAAAAGAGGAGGTGGTGTCTTAATCTGCTTGGGCTGCTATCACAAAAAAAACTATAAACCAGGTAACTTATAAGCAAAAAAATTTTCTTTCTTTCTGTTTGGAGGCTTGGAAGTTCAAGATCGTGGTGCCAGCAGATCCGGTGTCTGGTGAGAGCCTGCTTCCCAGATGACCATAACCTCACCCGGTGCCAGAGGTAACCTGATCCCATTCATGAAGGCTCTGCCCACATGTCCTAACCACCTCCCAAAGGCCCCACCTCCTAACCTGTCACATTGGGCATTACATTTCAACATATGAATTTGGGGAAAACAGACACAGCAGCTGGTGTAAGAGGGGAAAAGTTCATAAGACTGTACAGCAAGCATGTCAAACTCGTGGCCCGCAGGCCGCATGCAGCCCACCGCGAATATTTTTGCTGTCCAGCCAATATAACAGTATGTAAGAAATGTTTTAATAAAAATTTTGTAACTTAATTTTTACAATATCCTGTTATATATAACTAGAGATCCGATGCACGAAATCCGTGCAAAAGTAGACCTTCCTTCCCCCAGCTGCTGGTAGCAGCTTCCCTCCGGCACCCAGGACCCAGGCTGCCCTTGCCATCCTGGCTTCATCTGGAAGGTCATCTGGAAGGACATCTGGAAAGACATCCAGTCTAATTAGCATACTATGCGTTTATTATTATAGACTAGAGACTTGATGCACGAAATTCGTGCACTGCGGGGCGGGGTGGGGAGGCGGTCCCTAAGCCCAGCCTGCACCCTCTCACAGTCTAGGAGCCCTTGGGGGATGTCCAACTGAGGGCTTAGGCCTGCTCTCTGTGGGCCTAAGCTGGTAGTTGGACATCCTTAGCACTGCCATGGAGGCAGGAGAGGCTCCTGCCACCACCACTGCACTCACTAGCCATGAGCCTGGCTTCTGACTGAGCAGTGCTTCTCTTGTGGGAGCACACTGACCACCAGGGGGCAGCTCCTGCGTTGAGTGTCTGCCCCCTGGTGGTTAGTGCACGTCATAGCTACCAGTGTTCCCGTTTGGTTGATTTGCATATTAGCCTTTCATTATATAGGATTAATAACAAACTCAATGTTCGCTAATGACTGATTACTATAATTGTGTTGCATTCATTTCCCTTATGTGCCTCTCTACTAATACTAGCAGTGAATATTTTAGCAGCCGATTGGCACATCATTAGTCTTGGACTGACTTGATTGGTGGGCGCAACAGGAAATATTTCGTTTTCGGAGAACAAGAGAAATAGGTTTATTTGTGTTACGCTTTTTGTGCAAGTTATTTAGTGTCTGGTAAGTTAACGTTCAAGAAAAATATTTTTATTAAAATGTTCTATTATTTTATGTTAACAATTACTCGTTTATTTCAGCCCTTTGTATTCAGCATGTCTATCAAAATAAACCTACGTTTCTTTTTTTTTAAGCTTTTTCTTCTTTAAAAAATGTATTTGTTTATTGATTTCAGAGAGGAAGGAAGGGGAGAGAGATAGAAACATCAATGATGAGAGAGAAGCATTAATCGACTGCCTCCTGCACGCCCCTTATTGGGGATCGAGGCCGCAACCCAGGCATGTGCTCTTGGCCGGAATCAAACCTGGGACCCTTCAGTCTGCAGATTGATGCTCTATCCACTGAGCCAAACCGGCTAGGGAAACCCTATGTTTCTATGAAAATTGAAGCTATGTTAGCCCCAACCCACATAAACTTAAACCTCATTTATTTGGCCCATGTTAGCCTTTGAGTTTGACATGCTTGATGTAAAGAAGCCATTAAGGGCATAAAGGGCCAATACAAAGAGTTTCAGGAAGTCAGCATTAGCAAGAAGATCGAAAGCTACACATCTCTGAGGGTAATGACTAAAAGGTGAATAAAGGAGAGAGAGGCTAATTTTATCCTGGAGTCTCCAGAAGTGCCTCGGCCTCACCTAGATTCTCCGCAGTGAGGCTCGGAGTCCCTCCTCAACACGAGACCACATGCCTGGAGAGCAATGTCATATTCAAGAGCAAGGCTCCGAAGACAGAGAATTAACATGGCACCAGGCCTTGTCCCAATTTACTGCAGTGGTTAAAGGTAATGGACTTCTCACAACACACAGAGGGGAGAGAACAGAGCAAACACAGAGCACCTTCTCTCTATTCCTCCCCAAACGCCCGCGGCATCTACTGAAGACCGGAGTGAGGGGTACTGCCTGTCCTTTTGCTTAAGGCAACTGAATCGCTCAGACATAAAAAAGATCTCAAAATTTTAACATTTGAGAGAGAAGTTTAAAATAGCGCTACCTCAAAACCACAGCTGCGATGGAATTGCTGAATTGCTTATTTCTTTTCCTTCGCCTCTATAATAAAAACTAGCTTTCAGGGTGAGACAAAGAAGAGAAACTCATAAGAAAAAACAAATAAATGTGGTTTTTAAAAAATATTTTCTTTCACCCTAACCAGTTTGGCTTTGTGGATAGAGTATCGGCCTGCGGGCTGAGGGGTCCTGGGTTCAGTTCCGGTCAAGGGCATGTACCTTGGTTGCAGGCACATCCCCAGTGGGGGGTGTGCAGGAGGCAGCTGATC